CACACACAGACAACCCCTCGTCAATATGCGTTTTCTGCATTGCATAGCTACAAAAAACGCACAAAAACACAGCAGGACGAACAAAAAAATGTGCTCAATTCCAAAAAATAGAGAAGAAAACCCACCAGTCTGTGGATGGTGCAATTCGAACGACGGCTCCGCATCATCCACACGTCGTATGATATGCCATTCGCCTTCGTCCAGTTTTATCGTCTTGCTAGCTTTCTCACAGTATACGTCACGTCTGTTTTTGCACCGAATGCTAACAGTTCGACGACCAAATTGTAGTAAGTGTGAGGAATGTAATTCCAGGTAACACTTTCGATTGCATTTAATCTAAAACATAAATATTAGGTTTCACAATGAACATGCATGTCTCGATGAAATTCAATTTTCCAGGTGCACAGCCACAGCCAGTCAGTCTTAGAAGTTTGGCTTCTAGCGTTTGTAGCTTTCACAAAAATACTATCTCGGGTTAACAGCAGCTTGATTTCGTGCACTTTACTGATGCGAAGAGACGCGAAAAAAAAAGCCGTTTTTACGTGGTTGTACATGGGCATAAAGCAAAAAACAGCACCTGTGGCCTGAACATAAGCCAAAAATGGACACCACACTGAGCATCACGCTCATGTTCATGCTCCCACAGAAAACCAAGGGCCTTATGTTCATACTGTCATAGACAGACACTGAATGCATCTTAATAATACAAGGAGGCATCAACTGCGGCCTAGGCGCGCCTTTTGTTTTGCTCCGGATGGGGAGATGAGTAGAGACGAATAAAACAATTTATTTGGTATATTTACGTGTAATAATACAATAATTCAAGCAGCCCGGTTTGGCAGGAGGGGAACAGACAATTCGTTGAACCAGACTGAAGATGACGGGAACGGAATATGCAATCGCTAGGAGGCAGCCGAGGAGCGATTGAGATTGTGAGGTGAAGGAAGGCCGTTGGCCGAGACGACGTTACGTAGCTGGAACGAACAGAAGACGAGGAAGTAGGAGACAAGGAAGCGAGATACAGGAACTTTTATAAGGTCTAAGAAACACCTTATCGTCTTTCGGCAATCAGGCATCAGGAATGTAATAATTGACTAACGCACGGATTGCCCGTGCGAAGGTGCGTTTTTTGCATAGTTCCCCGCATTTTTTGTTGCTACCGGCATCAGTTTTTTTCGGCAAATACTTCTAGCTAAACAAATTAAGACTGGCCGCCAGAACAGACAGAAAACACCCCCTTAAAATTTCAGCTTTTTAGCTCTCCTGGCTTCTGAATTAGTAACTCACTGGAAAAAAACGCACGCGGGCACCACGCATACCCGATGTCTGGGTTTGAGCTCGTTGAGACTTTGACAGGGAACATCTTCTTAAAACTATAGTCTTCTAGCTTTTCAGGTTCTCGAGTTATCAAATTTTGACGGGCACGAACACTGATACCACGCTTACCCGGCGGCTGGGTTTGAGCCCATTCAGACTTACGTGGACGAGGAACATCCTCTTAAAATTTCAGCTGTCTAGCTCTTCTGGTTCGTGAGTATCAACTTACCCGAAAAAAATTTGGCGGGCCCGTACGCAGGTACTACGCTTACCCATGGGTTGGATTTGAGCTCATTAATACCTAGTTGGATGGGGAACATTCCCTTAAAATCTCAGCTTTCTAAATCTTCTGGTCCGCAAGTTATCAAGTTACCCTGGAAAAATTTTGGCGGGCCCGTGCACGGGTAACGTGCTGTTTGAGCTCATTAACACCTAATTCGATGGGGAACATCCTCTTAAAATTTCAGCCTTCTAGCATCTCAGTACTTACCCGGAGAAAAATTTTGGCGGCCCATACGCAGGTACCATGCATATCCGGGGGCTGGGTTTGAACTCACTAATACCTACTTCGATGAGGAACATCCCTCAAAATTTTAGCTTTGTAGCTTTTCTATTCGCGAGCTAGCAACTTACCCGCAAAAAGCTTTGGTGGGCTTTCACGTGGGTACCACGCGGGTAAGACCGTCCTCTTTGGGGATGGGGGCCCGTACGTGCGTGTAGATTAAGTCCTCAAAGCTTCAGCCCTGTAGCTTTTGCCGGTGTCGAGATGAAAAATCGGTGCAGAGGCCCAGCGCACATACAGACACGCACACGCACATACACACACAGACAACCTCTCACCAATATGCGTTTTCCGCATTGCACAGCTGCAAAAAACGCATAAAAAACAAACCCGTGCTGCTTTGCTGCCTCGTTTGCGAACAACAACAAAACTAACTTCGCCCTCATACTCCGGAATTTTTCGCTCATCATCAATGAGCCGCAAGCGATCCGCATCACTCTTGTTGCCAGGTGTACTATAAAAACATTTATTTGCATTTGCAATAGAAAAATATTTTAAAGTTGGAACAGGCAAAAATAATGATATTAAGAAATTAGTAAAAGTAGTAAAATAATAATGGTAAGAAATATTCCGGTCCATTAAGTCGTCTACATTTCTCACCATTACCACAATTGGACCTCGTCAGTACGATGATTGTGGTAATCGGTTGTAGCATGTTAAAATTAGCTGCATGAAAACTAGTGAAAGTACAAGTAACTAATAAATGGCAACGCGCACCAA